AAAATATATATATTAGTGAAATTATTTGTTAGACTTTAAATACGCGATCGCGACGCTTGAGCTCAGGCGCTACGCAGATGTGGCAGTTTGTTGCCGAACGCCAGAAAGAATTTGCTTTAATTTCCGCTAACAATATTTAAAATAAATATATGGCGCAAGCGCAGCGCAAAGAAAAATAAAGAAAGATTCGTTATGGCTATTACTAGAAGAAATTAACAGCTAACTGCGGTTAACAAGTTTATATGCAGGCATGACAACCAAATTCAGGACTTGAGGCAAAATTTAAGTGTTAAACAAANTTTTTTTTTTAGTTCGATTCAAGCGCTCAGAGCGGTTGTTGTGTATTTCGGTTCGTTGGAAATAGTTAATAGTTGTTGTGTACAATTGGTTTTGTGAAGTGAACCCCTTTGAAGTCGAGTGCATTCCCTTCTTCCCTTTCCTTTTGCCATCGACTTAAAGAAACATCTATTGCATCACATTTTGGTGAGTTTAGATTAGTTTTTTTTATATATACAGTCCACTTGGAAAGGGCTATTTGGGCCCCACCATCCCCTAAAACTATAATAAGCAATTATTCTCCATGTTCCCTGTGAATTTTAAAATTTCCTACCATTATTTCAAATGCGTGTGGCTACGATAAGTGCGTACGTTAATACTATTTTGCGATCATTGATATACTAGATTTTTTTGAAGATTACTGTTTTTATCTTGGTTTTTTTACCGCTTCGATGATATCTAGGCAATTTCAGCAATAAAATTACAAGTTGACGAATACTGTGTGAAGGTCATTGGTATTCGATAAAATACTACATAAACATCCTACCTGTAAGAGTTTAATTGAAAGCCTTTTTTCTCGAAAACCGTCTACATTAGGAAGTTCTAACAAGAGTATATTATTTTTAGATAATAAAATTGTACATTAGAAATTGCAGCCCGAATGGTAAAAAAAACCAACCTTAAAAAAATTAGAACTTAAAATGTAATAGGAATGTATCATAACTAGCGCCCTCTATGAAATATACAAAAAAAATAATTATACCAGCATATTTGGCGTCCTCAAAAACCCCGAAATACCAAATTAAATAAAAATATTGCGCACCGTTTAGAAATTTTCGTAAAAATTCTATTTAAAAAATTTTATTTTGTCGCTCTTATTTTTTTCTTTAATTTTTATTTTTGGTCGTACTACGTATTTACCCCTGTATTTACGGGTGGTCTTTCTGAAACACCCTGTATATCCGGGCTTTCCTGAGTGATAACATTAATAAAAACAAAAAAGTGTTTCGCATAAAAGTTGCATCATTTTAAAACCATGTTAAATTATCCACGGTTTGCAGGCTTCTGTTGCAGTTGAACAACCTCTTTATGATAACTAAAATTAACTATTTTTTATAAACATTTTCTCTTCTCCTTAAAAAGTTACAATAACAAACATTGTACAAAAATGTACCTTCTATTGTATCGGAACTAGTCATGACTTAATCAGCATTACTGTGAAAAACAATCGCTGTAACTCTAACATACTAGCTGCTGTGCTCTTCTTAAAAAAGGTCGCTCCACGAAAAAAAATAAAACAATACACATGATGACGGTTAAATAGGGTAACCAAATATAGACAATGTTAATTGTAACTAATAAATATAACAATAACTAATAACAAAACACGAAGCAAAATATAAAATTATGATTATTACTTTAAAAAAATTAATCATTATTTGGGCTACATAATTAAGTCTTTTTTCAGCATGTATGTCAGATAAGTGCTCCAAGTTGTTTAGCCTATAGTCAAGGTGACCATTGGAGATCAAAATTCTTTGCGCAGAGTTTCATTTTGAATTCAATGCAAAGGTGGCCTGTCGTATAGAATTTCTAGTATTTTCCTCAAAATATTGTATTGTAGCTACGGTAATGTCACAATACGATACACATTGATTTTGAAATTCATTTCCTTTTTCTCGATGAAAATGCATTTTCGTTAGCACGCAAAGTTCGTTCTAATCTGGCAAATATTTTACCCCGGCGGCGATAATTATTGATTTTTATATATATCAAATATCCGCTCGACAAGTCGTTAGTCACGTGAAGGTCCCACCACGACTTGTGTTAATCCGGTGGGGATTGGGGCAACAAAAGCCCTCGACATTCCTCGAAACCGGCAGTTCCTAGCCAGAACTCACTACCAACCAGAAGTCCACCGCCAGAACTCACTACCGACTAGAAGTCCACCGCCAGCAAGCCAGCCAGGAATAACCAGTAAATCCAGTAAGAAATATTTTCCTTTTATTATGGTCCGTTCCGACCGAGTACAAGTCCGAAAAGATTTGTACGCTTTAATGGAATTACTGTGGGCCCGAGAAGAATATTCTTGGTAACCCGCACACCAATTCCACCGTCCTTCTCAACCCACACGACAGAGCAATCGTTGGATTCGGCGTGTATACCCAATCTTGACGAAGCTTTCGTGTTTACTACAGCGTTGCCCGTTGTCCCGCACCAGGATGTACGCTGAGTAATAGAGGATATGTGAACTTGCACCTAGAGGTTCGGCGTGTATACCCAATCTCCGGGTCGTTCCATATACGTACGTTTCTCCCTGATCGGCGTGTATACCCATCAGACCGGGAAGCGTTGTATACTGAGAGTCCGACAACGTCGGTCACCAGGACGTATAAAACTTAGAGGACAGTACGAATTGCAAGGCGAGATACTTCGGATCCCGTTTTACCATCCTATCGCCACCCGATTTTTCCGCTTGGCACCGCCTGGGCTTTCTTCACTGGTTATCGCTACCGCTTACCGCTTGTTAATTTTGCATTGCTTGCTGGACCGTACTACCGTTATCTAACCGTCGACCTGAGAGTAACATTACCGCTATTTAACCACCGACCTGAGTGTAAATTATTCTGAAATAATTCCGTATAATTTTGTTTAGTTTTCAGCAGGGACCGACAAAATATTTACAAATATTTTATTTCTGTATCAGTACCGTCTACAATCACCTTTTTACTTAAAACCGTTGAATATTGCAGAATAACAAACGTTTTATTTTAATTCCGTTCATAAAACCTATATTTCTTTTAAATCTGTTCAAAGGTGATAAGTTAAGTTGTAAAAACCGAAATCTACAGTTTTTAGTTTTGTCTCTAACATCGTTATTGTATATAGTTGTTGTTTAGTTAGCTTATAAATATTTCCAGTCATTTCGTACGAGGTAGAAATTAAGATTGGCACGATTTGTATTTGTACAAAGTTTTAATATTTTCCTTGTGAATAAATCCAGTAAAATTAATAGATGTATTTCTTTCAAAACCGAAGTAAACTGATAAGATTCCGAACCAGCAAAAACGCTGATACCGTTTTGTCGAAATACACAAATAATTCCGTTTAATTTTATATTTAAAATAAAACTACAACTAGAAAACTACTCTCTGCCGTTTTCTCCGAAAAGAAATACATTTGACCCCTGGAATTTACTTTCATCACTGTAGCTACCTGTGCACTTTACTCTAAACCGAGGGTAAGGGTTGCGTGGAGTTTCCCCCACGTAAAATATAGGGAAACTGGCGCCCGAGACTAAACCAACTATATAAATTATTAACTAATTTTACCGTTTAGAGTCCAGTCCGAGGAATAAAAGACCTTTCCTAAAAATTTAATTACAGGGGGTGCACACACCATAGTTAAAAGTAATAAAAAGTAACACCTACCGACCTATAGAGAGAGAACCGAGGAAAAGTGCGTCACAATACTTTCTTGGAATTTATTCAGTTGGGACTAGTGAGTATTTGTAGGAGATTAGGACTCACTTAGTGTAACTAAAACCTCATTTCAAATTTTATGTAATGAACCGGAACTTGCCTCAGTGCGAATGCGTGTATGTCGACGTATTACTCCCACTGTCTTGCAGCTAAACCTCCTCTTCTCCCCCAAGTTCCCAAATTTGTCTTAGTCGACATATAGAAAGGTTCTAGTGCACATGCTGGTGTACGAATACCTAGTGCATTCAGCAACTAATTTACTGTTGCCGATTCCGATACTCCAATAGTACCCTGACGTCTTCAATATATCAACCAGTGTCACTAGTATTCAGTATGGAAGATCGTACTCCAGTCCAGCAGACAAAACACCATGAATAAATTCAAGACTGCGTTAGGTAATTCACTCCACATTCTAAACCCCGATTGGGTTCAGGACTTGGATAGTTTAATGCGACCCCTTCCTTGTGTGTAATAAGTCGCACTTAGTCCAATCCAAATTATTTTGTGATATAAAAGTATCAAGGATCCCGAACAAATCCAGAGACTTCGGACATGCAATGACAATTTTGCAAAAGAGATCTTCTGCAATGTGATTACCACATATGAATCTTGCATAGTTTATCGAATGAGCATCCTTATTTATTCCGTAGCTTCAGCCAGCAGCAACTCAATTGCTTTGATTTTTTCAATTCATTGATGTCCTCTGTCATACGCTGTAGTCTGGGACTGATTGTATTATCGGACAAAGGCATTACTGGAAGAAGTTTCTACAGCAGATATGTTCTTGCGATGATATGACGCTTTTTATATTTCGCGACTCGATAACCCATCTCGTAAGATGCTTGCAAAGCGTTGTTTGGTATTGATGCATTCACGAGAACTCTACTACTTTGTTGCCTCAGTTCTTTCAACTTCCCGGCAAAGAAATCACGAGGTTTGTCTACCATATACTAGTGAATTAATATTTACAAAACTGTGCTTCAGTTTATTTGGCACCATGCACTGTGGTACCAAAACTTTTATACACAGTACATGTGGTTTTATTCACCACAGATTTCTGTTGACGTAAAACCAAACACAAAATAAGTGTTAAGTATCATATTCGTGTTAGTAGTTGAGTGTGTAGTTTCTTTATCTTCACTCTTACAACGTACAATGAAAACTATACACTTTAATATACGCTTTCATTAAAAAAAGTATGCATTCTTAATCCTACAAAACGGCTCTTCTTATTTTTCAGGAGGGCAATGGTTCTCTTCACAAACTCCATCGCCTACGATGCGCTGGCGTTCTTCGTGACGCTGACAGTTGTCGTCTACGCCTACTTTAAATGGAAGTACCAGTACTGGAAGAGGAAAGGTATCCCATATTTCGTGCCCAAAATACCGTTCGGGAACATTCCAAACCCACTGACAAGCCAATTGAGCATAGGAGAGCATATTGCTTTGTTGTACAAAGAAGCCAAGGCGAGAGGTTTGTATACAGACTAGTGTGGATGATACAAAAATATGTTTTACATTCCATTCAAACAATTACTTTAAATTTTAAAATTTTATTAGATTATGCAAGACCTATTATTGTGGTTTTCATGATACTCTTATTATCGTGGCTTATTGTTCACATTGAAGACGGCCTTGTGCATAGCAATGCAGAATTAATGCGCACCGTTTTAATTTGTTTCCTTACTCAAAAAACTTTACAGGGTGTGCCATTTCGCGTGAACATAGCTTTGCAATTTTAAAGGGAACTGTATATTATTGCGTTTTTGAATTCCTTGGTTAATATTAGGTAGAGTTTATTTAAAATACACATCCAACAGGCAATGCCCAATAACAGGATATGTTAATTCTAGTAATAAAATATAAAAAAATTAAAATAATACAAACATACAAATAAAACAAATATGAAGAAAAAAATAAAAAGGCAACAAACTATTATTAAATGTATATGTTGTTTAAAACTTACTGGTTTCGAGATAATCAGTTGTTTTTTAAGAAAATCACGATTTCAGCTCTCTAAATGAGGATAGATAGCGTCTAAACCGTAAGGATCCCATTTGGGGCCTTTCCGCTACTTGATCCTCATGAATGATATACATACCATCCATGTCTTAATACGCAAATAACAAACAACCAAAGTATGGAAAACCTCGAATATCTCTCGAACTATAGGACCACAACACACCTCAATAAAATCGATAGGAAATTACTTCTAACTTCTACTTGCCAACAGAAAATCTTCTTCCGATTTGTAACTGTTATGAAGTTTTCCTTGAAGTCACTTTAAGTCAAAAAGTTTTTGGTCCAAAATAACCCCACGAACAACCTTTTGAGGTTATTACAAGGACCTGCACATTAAAAGAACTGTTCTTTTTAGGTTGGAAGGGCTGCGGGTTCTATACAATGGCTGTTCCAATATATATGGTGCTTGACTTGGATTTGGTGAAAAACATAATGACAAAAGATTTCAACAATTTTATGGACAGAGGCATATATTTTAACGAAAAGGCAGATCCATTAAGTAAGCACCGAAAATTGAGCATATATACTTATACAGTAATAACTTTCGTAAATTTTACAGTCGATTCTTTCCAACGCTCATCCAAGGCGTTTTCTAGATAAATAATTATTTCGTTACTTGTATACAAGTTAAAATTTTTAGGTGTACATCTACTTGCCATAACTGGAATGAAATGGAAGAACTTGAGGGCCAAACTGACGCCGACTTTCACGTCGGGGAAGATGAGGATGATGTTCCAGACAATGGCAGACTGTGGCGTAATCCTGGAAAAGTATATCAAGGACGAAGTTGCGGGAAAGCAAGCTGTGGACATTAAGGATATTTTGGGTAAGGAAAATCAAAAGCTATGCTAATATTTCGTCATAATAATAAGTAAAGCTTACAAAGAAGTGCACGTCGCTGATGCAAGTACCAATAGTACTAGTTGTATAAGCTACGTTATCATACATGTAACAGATTTAAAATATCCAACTTGAATTGGAGATTAGAATTGTCTAAATTCCAAATCTTTTAGCGTCAATCGCTTCCAAAAATGAGATATGCCATCGATGAGGCACTAGAAACGATCTTATAATCATTAATAAAATCATTAATAACTTTTGTATCTGTCACAGCCACCGTCACTAAAGCTGTCATCAATGGCTTCCAAATGTATGACAAGTGATTCTATTATAATTTTACCTCTTGTATTCAGAGCTGCTTATTGTGGCATGTATGTTTTTATATCCATCTAGATTAGTTCAATGGGGTTCAGCTCACAGTGGCATGATGGCAAGAAAAGTAACATCCACTTCAGATTTTATGTATCTGGAACTGTTGCATATATGTGAGGAGACTCACTTCAAGCGTTTTTTAGCACCTTATCTTGTAGTAACGACATTTCCTTCTAGGTTCTCTACGGACATCATCGGTTCATGCGCGTTTGGCCTGGATTGCAATAGCTTCGAACAACCCAATTCTTCTTTCAGGGTCTACGGGAAGAAGGTCTTGGAGACCTCCACATTGGAACTGATGAAAGAGGCCTTCTGCATCAGCTTCCCCAAAGCTGCTAGAGCCCTTTCTCTCCGTGTGTTCAGGAAGGAAGTGTGCGATTTCTACACATCGGTCGTGCAAGACACCATCTCGTACAGGGAGAAGAACAGCGTCAAGCGTAACGACTTCATGCAGCTGCTCCTCGAGATGAAGGCCAAAGATGACAATGCTACAGGTATGAAGCCTACAGGTGTGATAGGGTACTATCAAACGTTTTATATACAAGGAAGGGTAGCTTCTATGGATGAAATTAAACCAAAAAAAATTGTGCTTGTTAAGGACACCCAACAGATTATTTCGTTCGAAAATGTACTTATACGTAAATGAAATAATAATAATGATGTGTTTGAACTTACAGAAAACGGCAACACCCTGACTATGCCTGAGATAATAGCGCAAAGCTTCGTCTTCTTCATAGCTGGATTCGAGACCAGCTCCACTACCATGACCTTCGCCCTTTTTGAATTGGCGAGGAACACCGCCACCCAGGACAAAGTAAGAGAAGAAATCCGCACAGTCCTCGCGAAACACGACGATAAAGTCACTTACGACTCGATGAACGAGTTGTTTTATATGAAACAAGTCATCGATGGTAAGTAAAAAGCGAATGATTCAAAAGAGGTCGCTGAGTTTTAAGGGCGGCTGTTTAGAAAAGTGAAAATCCTCTCGAGTTTTTAGAAATGTCAACTATTTTTTTTTTGTCATTTTATTGAATTTCTTCCAACCCCGTTGTTGCAAGATAGTTCTGAATCACTTAAAAAAGTACTGGATCAAAATTTGTGAATATACGATACTTTTCAGTTAATAGGCCAGGAAATATAGAGTTGGACGCGACTTTTCGTTTCGGCAAGCTGAATTTTTCACTATAGATGCTAAATATTATGTACAATAACATATTAGTTTCCACAGTCATAAAAATTTTTACGTAAATTCACGTTTTTCTCGTATAACGTTTTTCCGTTCATTTCTACGAGAAAACAGTAAAGTACTTTTTTTTTGTCTTCGAAAGACCTGCAAAACTAGCCCTCGAGCGTCAAAAAATATTGATTAGATCAAAAGTTATATACTGAGGAATTTTATTTATGACTTTTGAATTAAACATTTATAAACTGCGTTATTATTACCACAACGTTTTGGCATCGCATTCTCTCATCCTTATCACTGTCTAATAACTCACACGAAATCTGGAATCGATAAGTTGAATAGTTTACAAGTTATGGACAAATTAACTAATTATTAGTCTGGACGATCCCGAGCATCTTCCACAATCGCACTGATTTTTTTCATGGTAGATTTCATAATAATACATTGAAATCTATCATTTTTTTTTTAAATTTCAAAAGTGCAACCTGGAATTTTTTTTTATTATTTAGCCTTTGTTGCAAAATTAAATATACGACGCACGAGCGTGATATAGTAATATATTATTACATATTCAAAAGCTCATGAAAAGAGCTTTAATTTAAAAAAAATTGTCAAGATCCGTTGAAAAATAACGGAGTTACAGACTGTCAAAGTTGACGGCCTATTGTTATACGAATTAGGTTGGTAGCGGCAAAAAAATACTGTCATAACGGGCAAACCGAGTACTTTCCCAGATAAAAATATTTTATTTGTGGAAGTGCATAAGAAATATTGTCAAAAGTCAGTGGGTCGCTTGATTTTTCGGCGAGCCGTGGCGCGGCGGAAGGGTGGAGGAAGCGAACGACGGCAAGCATCGCGTTTGAAAAAACTCGTTCTCGGTCTTCAAAATCAATCGCGCAACTAGAATACAATTTTTCTTGGGAACTATTTACGATAAATCGATCATTCTTTTTTAAATTTGATACAACGTTACGAAAAGAATTTTGGAATTGCTCAAAATTACGAAAAATCATGAGAAATGTCATAGATTTCATTAAAAATTATAAGTGAAATTATTGTTGCATTTTTATTCAGGAAAAGATTGGGAAATTATTTATCTAATGGATAAATGATATTTTATAACGTACATAAATATTATAATTATGTTTTTAATGCAAAATGATGTATATTTTATTAACGAGATGGCAAGTATAAATATTATTACTGATGTAATGAACCTGTGTTATTTTTGATTTTTATTAGGTCTGAATTTAAAAATATTTATTTTTATTTCGGATTATTCTATCCCGGCGGCGAGAATTATTGATTTTTCTACATATATATCAAATATCCACTCGCGGGTCCGACCGGCCGATACCCCACTCTGACAAGCCGTTGGTCACGTGGAGGTCCCACCACGACTGGTGTCAATCCGGTGGGGATTTGGGCAACAAAAGTCCTCGACATTCCCCGAAACCGACAGTTCGTATCCAGAACTCAACACCGAACAGACGTCCACCGCCAGCAAGAACTCTCCACCGAAGCCAGCCCCGAATAACCAGTGAACCTAGTAAGAATTATTTTCCTTATTATTATCCGTTCCAACCGGGTACAAGTCCGAAAAGATTTGTACACTTTAAGTGTGGAATTACTGTGGGCCCGAGAAGAATATTCTTGGTAACCCACACACAAATTCCACCGTCCGTCTCAACCCGCACGACAGTGCAATCGTTGGATTCGGCGTGTTAAACCCAATCCTGACGAAGCCGTCGTGTTTACTACAGCGTTGCTTGGTGTCCCGCACCTTGATGTACGCTGGGTAATAGGGGATATGTGAACCAAGACCTAGAGGTTCGGCGTGCCCACCCAATCTCCGGGTCGTTCCATATAGTATCCGTACGCTTCTCCCTGGTCGGCGTGTATACCCATCAGACCGAGAAGCGTTGTATACAGAGAGTCCGACACCATCGGCCACCAGGACGTATAAAGCTTAAAGGCTAGTACGAATTGTAAGGCGAGATACTTCNAAGTAAACAATTTTATATGTAGGACTAAGCAAGTAAATGTTATAAGAATATTTACATGTGGAATTATATATAAAAAAGTTAGTATTTTCGTAGATTTCAGTACCTAAAACCTTGATGGTTTGATCGTTTTTTGCACCTGTTTATTCGTTTTACTGCGGCGTCTTTGAAAATAACCAGATGGCATGACATAACATTCCTATTATTTGATAAGCTTTAGATTATTCAGTTATTAAATGTTTGAAATTATTTGTCTTTGCGGAAAACACTATTTAAAGAATATGGGGCCCTTAATTTAAAAAAAAATTGTCAAGATTCGTTGAAAAACAACGGAGTTACAGACTGTCAAAGTTGACGGCCTATTGTTAAACAAATTAGGTTGGTAGCGGCAAAAAAAAAATACTGTCATAACGGACAAACCGAGTACTTTCCCAGATAAAAATATTTTATTTGTGGAAGTATGTTAAGAAGCATAAGAAATATTGTCAAAAGTCAGTGGGTCGCTTGATTTTTCAGCGAGCCGTGGCGCGGCGGAAGGGTGGAGGAAGTGAACGACGGCAAGCATCGCGTTTGAAAAAACTCGTTCTCGCTCTTCAAAATCAATCGCGCAACTAGAATACAATTTTTCTTGGGAACTATTTACGATAAATCGATCATTCTTTTTTAAATTTGATACAACGTTACG